GTGACTTCCTCACAGCTGCAGCCTTTGCAGAGTTACTCAGGGAGGATGCTGGACTCAGCTAGCTGGGTTGGGATGCACAACTGCAGAGCAGGAACAGAGGAGCTCAGCCCTGCCAAATCTTACCCTTTCTCCTCCTTCAGAGCCATGCTGGTACAGCTGGCTGAGAGGTCCCACCCACACCATGGAAGTTCCTCTGGAGAGGTGATGTGTCCCTGCTGGCTGTGATGTCCCAGGGATGGATTAGCAGCAGCCCCCACTGGGCATGTTTCAGCCATAAATAATTCAAACTGGTGAAACTCCTACATGACCCCTCATGAATGGACTGCAAAAGCAGAAGGAACGTTAATGCCCTGCCAAAGAGGAAGAATCCCAGGTCTGCCCTGGCTGGCGACACGGTGGCCATGGGTCTTTACCCCAAATACATGGACCTGTTTATCCTCCCTTCTCCAGCACCATGGTAAATGCACCCAGTCCCAGGCTGCTGAGCTGGCTCCAAGGGCAAACTGGGTGCCTGTCATGCAGGGGGGATCTGCTGTCAAACACAGTGGGATGTTTGTGGGGGCTCAGCCCTCAGGTTTGGGTTGATGGTGCTGGCCACAGGGATCATTTATTTAATGATAAATTTAATTTATTTAATGGCCTGGTTAATTACAATGTGACTGGGAAGTCATCTGGAACTCCCAAAGACAGCACTGCAGCTTCTGACCCTAGCTGGAGGTAGAGCCTGAAGGGGAGAGGCAAAAACTCAAAAACATCAACTTTTTTTCCTCCTTTGATTTCTTCTCTTTCCCTTCAGATGATGCTATCAGCTGGGGTCTGCAGAGCTTCAACTTAACAACAAACCGCTTTTATTTAAAGTGCCAATATTGTGCTTGGCTCCATATGAGACAGAAACATTAACTTTGACCTGGGGAGCCTGTCTGCCTGCCTAGCAGGCACTGAAAGTGTTGAGAAAACTGTTATTTTACTTCTATTTTGGTGCTGATTTTTCAAAATCTAATTTTTTATTAATTTAATTTTATTTTAACGGAGGATTCCCTCTTCAGCAGAGCCCCAGAGCTGAGAGAACATGCAGCCATCCTTTGTGTCCCCATGGAGTTTTGTCCCTGGTGTCAGCGTTGGCACCCAGGAGCTGGCAGGGCTGGGGGCAGGGGAGGGCAGCTGTCCCTGTGTTCCTGTGCCTGGGCAGTGGGGCTGGAGCTGCCGTGTCCTGGCTGGTGCTGCTGCCTGCTGGGTTTTCTGGTTGCTGTTTCTAGGCGAGGTTTGTAAAAGGTCACAAAAAATTAATCTTCTAACTGGGGACCTTGGCACTGCATGCAGTGAATGTTTTGTATTAACAACCCAACTCGTTAATTCAGTGAAACATTTAAAACCAAACCAGTTATATCCAGCCAAGCTGGAAAAAGCTGAAAGTTCATACTCAGCAGTGCAGATTTCGAAACCTCCCTTTGTTAATCGCTGCAGAAGTAAATTTTCTGCTATTGCAGAGCTCACTGTGACTGGTCTGGGCATTGTTTCCCCCAGCAGAGGCAAAGCTGCTCTGCAGAGGGTTGGTTTTGTACCTGGAACTGCAACCTTTCCCTCCAGCCTTAGTTTCTGTGAGCATCACTGGGAAAAAAATTGTTTTACTCTGCTTTAAGTCAGTTTACCCTTAAATTTCCAGCAGCAGGGATGGTTTAGGTGTACTGGACATTTGACCTGCTTACTCTGCTACCTCACAATGAAATTAACAGGTACAAATGAAATAGAAACCAGTAATTTAAGTACAATAACTTTGTCTTCCTGGCTCCAGGTAGCTCTTCCATTTAGCTTTGTCTCTTTGTTCCAGTTAATCATAAAATAATACATAGGAAATAGAGTTCTTCACTCATGGCTGTGCAGATGGGTGTGAGGCATCTGCAGTGGTGATATATGCACTGAGATCAGTTGTAAGGGTCTTTTTCAATTTATTATTTTTGCTGCCATTAATTTACCCTATCTATTAAACAGTCTCACTTTAATGAGGGAGAAACCAGTGAATTATCCATTTTGTTATATATTAGTGGTGTATTAAAGTATTAAGTGCATTCCAGAAGGTGAGCAGTGAATAAAACATGCTCCCAACATGTGGTTATGCAACTGTTCCATGGAAATGAAATGGACAAACAGAACACTTGATTAATTTTTTTTTTTCCCCAGTAAATTGCCACTGTGATTCACTTCCAGCTAAAATTTGCAATCTGTGTTCTCAGGTGGCATTAATATTGGAGCCCCGCAGGAGAGCTGTGGTGGCTGGGGCTGCTTTGATTGCATTTTTAAGGAAAGTTGTTGGAGAGAGCACAGAGTTTGATGCAAATGTGCTGGTAAATGAAATGCAGAGCTTTTAGGTTCTCTGTAGGTGGGTCAGACCATTCACATTTACCCAAAATAATAGCGATGGAGTGCTTGGGAGAGGCACTTTGTTAACGCGGCACAATGGGGGTCTTTGTGTGTCGCCGTTGCTTTGTATCAAATTTACTCTGTTGAGAGATAAAAATCGTCTTTTTGATATCTGGAGACTCCATAAACACTGGGTCAGATCTGTTAGGGACTGGAGCTGTCTCAGTAATGGACACTCTGGGGTTTGCTGGAAAGAAAAAAGCTTACAGAGGGCCCAGCAGCTTCTCCCTGTGTTAAAGCTGCAGGATAAAATGAAGAAAGTATTCCCTTTTAGCATTGCTTTCCTGACATCAAACTCCTCTCAGCCTTTAAAGCTGTATTTTGTACCTTCAGGCTGATCTTATGCTTTTTCCCTAATTGACTCGACTTGGAAAGGTCATCACAGCCTGCTAGACTGTGTAATGTTTAACTTAGCATCAAAAATGAGGATCTCGGGATTGGTGTCAAATGGATGCTGTTCCCCTCTGAATAGCACAGTCCATTCATAATCATCCAAATATTCCACTTGCTAATGTTAATGAATAACTTTCTGGCCCTCTGCAGAGGGCAGGGCTAACCATGAGAAGGTGGGATGAGAGTGACATAAAGCAGGTATTGAGATGTGCAGTCCACACTGGCTAAATACAGCTCACTTTCAAACCCGTTTTATTTACATTTCTTTTTTTTTTTTAAAGTTATAACTTCTAGCTCTTCATGATGCCTTAGCATAGCAAGCAGTCTTTTCTGATGCCAAGTTCAGTGATGACTAACACTATTTACAGGACTGTTTTGTAATCTCAGATCAGCCCACATTAACGGGAAGTTACGTTTTCCCGTCAGTCTTTCAAACGGTGCCTGAGAGTTGCTGAGGCCAGAGCCAGCCATCCAGGCTCTCCTGTTTGGAAAAAATGATGTCAGCTTTCAGAACAAGCTTTTAAAAAAAAAAATCTAATAAAGTTAGGGAGGTCATTTGAAATTGAACTTCCTTCATTTGAATTTTTTTTTCTTTTTTTTTGCATGAGGATCTTTCATTCCTCTGTTCTAAAAACTACCAAGAAAACTAAGCACAGGAGGTATTGCATAAGCACCACCAAACCATTTGCCTGATCTGCATTTCTCAGTGCATGAGATCAGCTCCAAATATCTGATCTGAGAAAGCTGCTGGTGCACAACTGCTGTAACTGATAGGAATTACCTCTGTGAGTCATCTCATAGGATGGTAAGTCTTTTTTTTTTTTTTTAAAGTTCAAGTTTTTATGAGTGTTTTTATAAAGCTCAGTTGCTGTTACTGTAAATCTCAGCGAAATCTGGCACAGAGTCTTTGTAATATGAATCGGTGCATCCATATGCTTCCAAGTGACCTTGCAGTCTGGAAAAATACCATTTTATCCCTCTGCTGAAGAGGAAAAAAAAAAAGCAGAGTTGCTGTAGAAAAGGTTGACAGAGGAGTGTCACCAGGCAAATGACTGCTGGTGCCAGCTACAGCAGCTTTACTGCCCTGGGGTCATGATCTCAGGCACAGAGCATTTGCTGTGCAAGTAGGAAAGCTCTATCAGGCCAGGAATAAGGTTGTGGCTAATGCCTCAGCCAGCCCTGGCCTTCCAGGGGCTGGAGCACTTCAAGCTCTGCTTTAGCTTCAGAGGAGGAAAAGAAAAAATAAAGCAAAAAAGTCATTGTCAATAGCTTGGTTGGGTTTTGCTTGTTTTTGTTGGGTTTTGGTTTTAAATGTAACAAATCTCAGGCTAGAGCAATCCCAGCGAGATGGGCTCACACTGAGCAGAAATTACACTTTGTTAGGGAATACCCCAGTGCACTGGGTGGTGTGGCTGCCAAAAGCTGCCGAGTGGTGGGAGGGAAAGGCTGGGAGCCAGGAACATTGTGGTGCTGCTCCTGAGCCTTGGGGCCTTTACCTTGTCTTGTGGCTCCAGACAAGGACTCACAGATGTTGTTGGAACAGTGATGAAGTGTCCACAGCATGGGAAGGGCATCTCCCAAATGCTTTGCAGGCTTGCTGAGCTCGAAGGGCTAAAATACCTCAGCCTCCTCGCCCCCTGCAGCAGCTCTGGGTGTCTGCAGAGACTCTTGGCACGGGCACAGTGCTCTGAGCTGGCGAGAAACTTCCCAATGGTATGGATGGAAAATGCTGATTTTGAAGAAATTGAAATGATCTGTGGGGAATATGTGCATTTTTCATGCTTTTTTTGTGATGGAAAGCAGGCAGCTTTCCCAGGTGAGCCTGCCTGGTGTCACCTCCTGCATGAGGCTGAGCTGGGACCTGGGCACACAGGGAACCTAGGTACTGCTCTCCCTGCTGAAACACCAAGGATTGGTCTTGACAGGGCAGAATGAGGGGTAAATTCAGTGGTTTTCCTCCTTAAATGAGAATTTGATGTGGGCTGTAAAAGTGGCATGTTTGCGTGTTGGGTTTGAAACATACAATTCATAGGTCTAGGTGTGAAAATACAGTAAATCTAAGGTCAAGTTGGATTTTTTTCAATGAAAAAAGAAAAATTATTTTTTGAATGAAGCAGTTAAATACCAGAGCAGTCATGCTTTGTCTAATACCAAGGGAACTAACCCCTCTTCCCTCTCCTTATCCTCAGGTTCAGTGGCAAATATGAACATTTGTCAACAACTCCTTGGGACATCATGAGCTTGCTGGAATCTGGATCACAGAGCACTTGCAATAGCGCTTTGTAAATCTGAATTTCATTTAAATGAAAGAAAAATAGTCCTCTGGATCAATTGTAGCAATGGCTAGCAAAAGGAAATCCACAACTCCCTGCATGATACCAGTAAAAACACTGGTGCTTCAGGAGACCGAACAGGATGCTGGAGAAGATGATCGTGAAGGAACACAAGCAGAGGCTCCTGCAGAAGGACCAGCAGCGAGTGATGCTGGGGCCAGCACCAGTAACAATGGAGCTTTGTCCAACGGGCACCGCGGCATTGCCGACGGTGACACTTATATCTGCAAGCCTTGTGACTTTGGATCTCAAGACCTTCACCAGTTCTTCGGGCACTTGGACTCTGAGCACTCAGACTTTAGCAAAGACCCCGCGTTCGCCTGTGTCGGGTGCAGCTTCCTGGCCAACAGCCACGAAGGGCTCTCGCACCACAACGCCGAGTCGCACGCCGGCGAGACCAGCTTTGTCTGGAGGCTGGTGAAGCAGGACAGTCGTACAACTGTGGAGCAAAGTCTCTGTGAGGCCACCAGCAGCCATGAGCTGCAGGGAGAGGTCCCTGAGGAAGGGGCGGATGGCCAGTCTGAAATTATCATTACCAAAACCCCTATCATGAAGATAATGAAGGGTAAACCCGAGGCCAAAAAAATTCACACACTGAAGGAGAACGTGTCGAGTCAGTTGGGCGGTGAGTCAGAGGTGAAGGATGGAGAACATTCATTCCCAAATGGGTCTGTGCCAGTCAGCCAGCCCACTGCAAGTTCAACAAAGTCATCCCACATAGTGAATGGCTCCATCATAGGAAATGTGCCTGTTCTGCAGGCGGGTGTTGCACAACTTGTGTCGCTGCAGCAGCAGCCGCCCCCATTGCATCAGCAGCTCCCTACATCCAAGTCTCTTCCCAAGGTGATGATCCCACTGAGCAGCATTCCCACATACAATGCTGCCATGGACTCCAACAGCTTCCTGAAAAACTCTTTCAACAAGTTCCCCTACCCCACCAAAGCTGAGCTCTGCTACTTGACCGTGGTGACCAAGTACCCAGAAGAGCAGCTGAAGATCTGGTTCACTGCCCAGAGGCTGAAGCAGGGCATCAGCTGGTCACCAGAGGAGATTGAAGATGCCAGGAAGAAGATGTTCAACACTGTTATTCAGTCTGTGCCACAACCCACCATTACAGTGTTGAACACGCCCCTGGTTGCAAATCCTGGGACTGTTCCCCATCTTATCCAGGCAACTTTACCAGGCCATGTGGTGGGGCAGCCAGAGGGGACAGGGGGGCTGCTGGTCACGCAGCCCATCATGGCAAACGGGCTGAAGGGCACCAGCTCCTCCTTCACCTTGGCAGTGACTTCTGTCCCCAAGCCGCAGCCGGCGGCGCAGCACAGCACCGTGAGCTCCAGCAACACATCAGGGGTCAAGGTGGTCAACAGCGCCCAGTCCCTGCTCACCGCCTGCCCTGCCATCTCCTCACAGACCTTCCTGGATCCCAACGTCTACAAAAACAAGAAGTCCCACGAGCAGCTCTCAGCCCTCAAAGGCAGCTTCTGCAGAAACCAGTTCCCTGGCCAGGCTGAAGTCGAGCGGCTGACAAAGATCACGGGCTTGTCCACCAAGGAGATCCGAAAATGGTTCAGCGACAGGAGGTACCACTACAGGAACGTGAGAGGCGGCCGGGCCATCTTCCCTGGAGACAGTGCTCTTGATTCCCTGCCCGAAATCACCTTTGACGTCCCACCCAGAGGAGCCGAGCTGGGTCCCGCGGCGGCGGCGGCCACGCCGGCTCCTCACCACCCACCACGGCGGCAGTCGTGGCACCAGGCACCCGACTTCACCCCAACCAAGTACAAGGAGCGAGCGCCCGAGCAGCTGAAGGCCCTGGAGAGCAGTTTTGCCCAAAATCCCCTTCCAGCGGAGGAAGAGGTGAACCGCCTGAGGGGGGAAACGAAGATGACACGGAGGGAGATCGACAGCTGGTTCTCGGAGAGGAGGAAGAAGAAGGTGACGGAGGAGAATAAGAAACTGGAGGAGGTGGCTCAACAGGAGGAGGAAGAGGCAGAGAATGGCGGCGGGGAAGGGGAAGACTCCTCGGATGAGCAGAGGGCCACGAGTGAAAACGGCTCAGTGGATGCCTCCGGCAGCAACCCCAACTCGGCGGAGAGGAAGGTGAGTCCCATCAAAATCAACCTGAAAAACCTGCGAGTGACCGAGTCCAACGGCAAAATCGAGGTACCGGGGACCGGCGCAAATGAAAAGGGGGACGGCAGCTCCAGCCGGCCGCCCACCCCTCCCAAAACCAAACTGAACTTCAAAAAAACGGCCCAGCAGCGGCATCTGCTGAAGCAAATGTTCGTGCAGACCCAGCGCCCCACGAACCAGGAGTATGACGCCATCGTGTCCCAGACGGGCCTGCCGCGGGCCGAGGTCATTCGCTGGTTCGGGGACAGCCGCTATGGCTACAAGAACGGGCAGCTGAAGTGGTATGAGA